GGCAGCAGGACCCCCCCCACACACTCCACGGTGCCAACTCCCCCGCGGCAACAGGACCCCCCCCCGTGGTGCCAACCCCTTCCCGGCAGCAGGACCCCCCCCACACACTCCACGGTGCCAACTCCCCCGCGGCAACAGGACCCCCCCCCGTGGTGCCAACCCCTTCCCGGCAGCAGGACCCCCCATCCCTATTTCCAACTCCTTCCCTGGCCGTGGGACCCCCCATCCCTGGTGCCAACCCCCCACCCATGATCCCAACCCCTTCCCTGGCCGTGGGACCCCCCACCCATGGTCTCAACCACCCCCAGCAGTGGGACCCCACCCACCCATAGTCCCCATCCCCTCCCTGGCAGCGGGACCCCCCTGCGGTGCCGACCCCCTCCTCGGCCGCGCCCCCCCCCCGATCGAGCGGGCTCCCCGTTTCCCAGGTGGAGCTGAGCCGCGGGAACAACGTGCTGTACTGGCGCACCACCGCCTTCTCCGTGTGGTCCAAGGCGCCCAAACCGGTGCTGGTGAGGAACATCGGCATCACAGGTGGGTGGGGGAGGGCAGGGAGGGGCCCGGGAGGGTCTCGCGCCCCCCTCCCCGCCCCCCCTGAGCCCCCTGCCCTCCCCAGGGGTCGCGTTCACCTCCGAGTGCTTCCCCTGCAAGCCCGGCACGTTCGCCCCCGCGCCCGGCGCCGCCTCCTGCCAGCCTTGCCCCGCCGACACCTTCTCCGGGAAAGGGGCCACCGCCTGCCAGCCCTGCGAGCCCGACTCCTACGCCGGTGAGGGGGGACACCCCGGGGTGTCCGCGCCCGCGGGGGGCGGCTTTGGGGGGCCCCTTTTCCTCCCGGTCTGGGATGGGAGAGGTGATGGGGGGAGCAGGGGAGACCCGACATTCTGTGGAGGGGACAGGGTTGGGATCCCCTTGTGAGCCTGGTGTTTACACTGCTGAGAGTGGACCCCTGGGGGTCCCCACACGCGGAGGTGGCAGCTCTGGGGGTCCCCTTGTCCCCCCGACTCTGTGCTCTGGGGAAGGGAGAGGCAATGTGGGGGAACAGGGGGGACCTGCCATCCCACGGTGGGGACAGGGTTGGGGTCCCTTTGCAAGCCCAACATCTGCACTGGGGAGAGGGGACGTTTGGGGGTCCCCACACCCGGAGGTGGCAGCTTTAGGGGTCCCTTTGTCCCCCCCAGTCCGTGCCCCAGGGGGAGAGAGAGATGATGTGGGGAGCAGGGAGGACCCAACATCCCGTGGTGGGTTGGGGTCCCCTCATGACCGACACCTCTGCTGGGAAGAGGGGACACCCGGGAGTCCCCACACCAGAGTTGGTGGCCTTGGGGGTCCCCCTGTCCCCCCACATTGTGCTGTGGGGGTGTCCTGGGGAAGGTGATGCAGGGGACAGGGAGGACCCGGTGTCCCTTGGCTGGGAGGGGGGACACGGACCCCCCCCGTGTTGGGGACAGCGTTGAGGTCCCCCGGCCCCTCACCCCCGTGTTCCCCCCCCGGCAGAGCCTGGCTCGGGGTCCTGCAAACCGCGTCCCCCCTGCACGGACAAGGATTTCTTCTACACCCACACGGCCTGTGACGCCGGCGGGGAGGTACCGCGGGGACCCCCGGGGCGGCCCCCCCGTCCCCTGCGGGTGTCCCCTGTGGGTGTCCCCCCCCTCACGCGCTGCCCCGGCAGACGCAGCTGATGTACAAGTGGGCAGAGCCTAAGATCTGCAGCGAGGAGCTGCCGCGGGCGGCCCGGCTGCCGCCCTCGGGGGGCAGGTCGCGGTGCCCCCCCTGCAACCCCGGCTTTGCCAAGGGTGCCAGGGGCTCCTGCCAGCCTTGTCCCCGCGGCTCCTTCTCCAACGGCTCCGGTAAGGCCGCCCCGGAGCGTCCCCGGGGGGCAACAGGGACACCCTGAGCTGCCGGCGGGAGGGGGGTGCCGTCCTGGGGGCAGGGCTGTCCCCTCCTGTCCCCATCATTGTCCCCAGGGGGGGTTACCGGGGCACCCCGAGCTGCCGGGGGGAAGGTGGGGGTGTCACTCCAGTGCAGGGCTGTCCCCTCCTGTCCCCATCACTGTCCCCATCACTGTCCCCCAGGGGGGTTACCGGGGCACCCCGAACTGCCGGGGGGGGGAGGTGGGGGTGCCACCCCGGTGCAGGGTTGTCCCCTCGTGTCCCCAGCCTGCCTGTCGTGCCCGCCGGGCACGGAGCCTGCGCTGGGCCTGGAGTACAAGTGGTGGAACGTGCTGCCCCCCAACATGGAGACCACCGTGCTCAGCGGCATCAGCTTCGAGTACAAGGGCGTCGCAGGTACAGGGGACCGTCCCCTCCCTGACCCCTCCCTGTCCCCTCCCCGGGCACAGCCGGGGCCCCACAAGCGCCGCCGTGTCCCCGCAGGCTGGGAGGTAGCCGGGGACTTCATCTACACGGCGGCCGGAGCCTCCGACAGCGACTTCATGATCCTCACGCTGGTGGTGCCGGGCTTCAGGTGAGGGGGTGTCCCTGCGGCCGGGGGGTGCGGCCGTGCGGCAGGGCTGGCAGTGTCCCCACGCTGTCCCCACGCTGTGCCCAGCCCTCCCAGCCCGGTGCTGGAGGACATGGAGAGCCGGGAGGTGGGAAGGATCACCTTCGTGTTTGAGACTGTCTGCAGTGTGGGCTGCGAGCTCTACTTCATGGTGGTGAGTGGGGCACTTTGGGGGGTCGCCCCGGGTTTGGGGGGACACTGTGACAGTGGTGTCCCCCATTCATGGTGGTGAGCGGGGGGACACGTATTTAGGGGGATCACACTGGGTTTGGGGGGGACACTGTAACAGTGGTGTCCCCAAAGTGAAACACCCCAGGGATGTGTCCCTCCCTCCCAGCAGGAGATGGGGGGGGTCACCCTGGGGGTCCCCAAACTCGGGGTCCCCACTGTCCCTCCCCCAAACCTGGGCACAGCCAGGGTGACACCCCAAAGTTGAGGACACTGTGACAGTGATGTCCCCAAAGTGAAACACCCCAGGGATGTGTCCCTCCCTCCCAGCAGGAGATGGGGGGGGTCACCCTGGGGGTCCCCAAACTCGGGGTCCCCACTGTCCCTCCCCCAAACCTGGGCACAGCCAGGGTGACACCCCAAAGTTGAGGACACTGTGACAGTGATGTCCCCAAAGTGAAACACCCCAGGGATGTGTCCCTCCCTCCCAGCAGGAGATGGGGGGGGTCACCCTGGGGGTCCCCAAACTCGGGGTCCCCACTGTCCCTCCCCCAAACCTGGGCACAGCCAGGGTGACACCCCAAAGTTGAGGACACTGTGACAGTGATGTCCCCAAAGTGAAACACCCGGGGGATCAGCCCCTCCCCGCCAGCAGGAGAGGTTTGGGGCACCTTGGGGGTCCCCAGAGCCCCTCCTCGGGGTCCCCAGTGTCCCTGCCAGCAGAGAGCCTTTGGGACATGCAGGGGACACTGTCGCTGTCCCCGCAGGGTGTGAACTCCCGCGCCACCAGCCCGGTGGAGACGTGGAGGGGCTCCACGGGCCGACGATCCTACACGTACGTGGTGCAGCACAATGGCACCCTAAGCTTCACCTGGGCCTTCCAGCGCACCCCCTACCACCAGCCGGTGAGGGCCGGGTGAGGGGTCCCCTCATCCCTTTGGGGAGTCCCAGGGTGTCCCCCCTTCCCTTGGGGAGGGCCCGAGGGGCTCCCATATTCCTTAGAGGGTTTCCTGGGGTGTCTCCTCTTCCCTTTGGGGGGTCCCCTCTTCCCTTTGAGAGTCCCAGGAGTGTGCCCTCGTCCCTTTGGAAGTCCCAAGAGTGTCCTCTTCTCCCTTTTGGGAGATTCTGAAGGCCAAGGGAATCCCCAAACAGTGGGAATTACTGCCCCTTTCCCTGTAGCCATCCACTGGGACACTCCCACTCAGGGGTCACTCCTGCCCAGAGGACACTCCAGGGGACACTCCTGCTCTGGTAACACTTGTGTCTCCCACAGGGCCGGCGCTACACGGGTGACGTGGCCAAGCTGTACAGCATCAACGTCACCAACGTGCTGGGGGGGGTGGCCTCCTTCTGCCGCCGCTGTGCCCCCCAGCCCACGGGCCCCTGTGCCCCCTGCCCCCCTGGCAGTGCCCTGGACCCCACGGGGACCTGCCAGCCCTGCCCCCCCGGCACTGTCCTGCGGGGACCCCCCTCGGGAGGGACCCCCTTGTGCCACCCCTGCGGGCCCGGCACTCGCAGCAACCAGGTGGGTGTCCCCAATGGTTCCCCGGGGGCGGCACTGGGCAGTTCCAGGAGAGTGACACCGTCATGGGTGGGTGGCACCAGGTCCCCCCGGCCGTCCTGGGCGGGTGACACTGCCTGGGTGGTGATGTCAGCCCCCTTCAGCTGTTCCCAGGGAGGTGATAGTGTCTGACCCTGGGTGGGTGACACCAGCCCCTCCCGGCCATCCTGGGTGGGTGACAGGGTGGGTGACACTAGCTCCCTCGGCCATCCTAGGTGGGTGATGCCTGGATGGGTGATGCCAATCCCCAGCTGTCCCCAGGGAGGTGACACCAGCCCTCCAGCTATCCCAGGGAGGTGACAGGGTGGGTGACATCAGCTCCCCTGGACATCCCAGGGGGGTGACAGGGTGAGTGTGAGCTGGGTGACCCTGAGTGGGTGACATTTTATGACCCCAGTGGGTGACACCACATGTCCCCTGTCCCTGAGGGGCAGTGCCAGCTCCCTGTGGTGCCCACAGGGGTGTCCCCGGTGGGTGCCACATCCACCCCTGAGCCCCCTCTCCTTGTCCCTGTTCCTCTGTCCCTGACCACTATCCCTGTCTTTGACCCCTTGTCCCTATGTCCCCGTTCCTTGTCCCTATGTCCCCGTTCCTTGTCCCTGTGCTCCTTTCCCTGTCCCCATCCCGGTCCCTGACCGTGTCCTTGTCCCCAGCTGCGCTCCCTGTGCTACAACAACTGCAGCCTGTCCCTGTCCCTGCCTGGCCGGACACTGCTCTACGAGTTCCCTGCACTGGGCATGGGGCTGGGGGTGGGCACCGGGCCCAGCTTCACCCCCAAGGGGCTGCGCTACAGCCACCGCTTCCAGCTCAGCCCCTGTGGCCACCAGGTGAGGCACGGCCAGGACACGGCTGGGCATGTGGGACGGGGGGCACAGAGAGAGAGGGGCACAGGAACACATGTGTGCACACATGGGAACACAGAGAGGGGCACGGGAACAGACGTGTGCACACATGGCAACACGCCTGAGCACATAGGAGGGTGGCCACAGGCACACGGGTACACACATGGGAACACACTCTGCTGCGTGTGCCCCCTGTGTGCCCCGTGTGTACCAGGTGCGTGCTGCGCGTGTGCCCCGTGTGTGCCAGGCATGCCTTGTGTGTGCCCTGCATGTGCCAGGCGTGTGCCAGGCATGCTGTGTGTCCCCAGGGCAGGAAGAAGGCCTCGTGTGCCGACTCGGTGCCGCAGGGCCGGGGGGGGGCCCCCGCCCGCTGGGTGACATCCTACGTGTGCCAGGCCATCGTTGTGCCCCCCGACAGCGCCGGGGCCCGCGGGGCCGTGTCCTCCCAGCCCGTGAGCCTGGGGGACACCCTGCTGGGTGAGGGACACCAGGAATGGGACATCGGGAATGGGAATGGGACACCCTGCTGGATGAGGGATACTGGGAATGGGATACCAGGAACAGCATACTGGGAATGGGACACCCTGCTGGCTGTGGGACCGGGAATGGGACACTGGGAATGTGATACTGGGAAGGGGAATGGGACACCCTGCTGGGTGAAGGACTGGGATACTGGGAATGGGCCACCTTGGGGGACACCCTGCTGGGTGAGAGATACTGGGAATGGGACACCCTGGTGGCACTGGGACACGGGTGGGACTGCCATACACCCTGGTGGCACTGGGACACCCTCATGGGACAAGGACACCTCGGCAATGCTGGGACACCCTGGTGTGACTGGGGACACCCTGGTGTGATTGGGGACACTCCTGGCACTTGTTGGTGGCCCGGGGACACCACGGGGATGGCCCCATGTCCCCCAGGTGTCACCACCAGCGCAGTGCTGGATGGCGTCGTGTCCCCCCCGGAGCTGTTCCCAGGCAGCCATTCCGACCTGCCCGACGTCATCTTCTTCTTCAGGTGGGGGCAGGGATGGGGGGGACACCCCACCGTGTCCCCAGTGTCCCCCTGACCCCCCGTGTCCCTTGGCAGGTCCAATGATGTCACACAGCCCTGCACCAGTGGCAGGGCCACCACCCTCCGCCTGCGCTGTGACCCCCTGAGCCCCCCCAGTGGCACCCTGGCTGTCCCCAGGTGGGGGGGGACACTGGGGACCCCGGTGGGGGCTTTGGGGACCCCCAAGGTGACCCCACCATCTCCTGCTGGGGTGGGCTGGTCCCTAGGGTGCTTCACTTTGGGGACACAGGTGTCGTGATGTCCCCAACCTTGGGGTGTCACCCCAGCTGTCCCCAGGTGTGGGGGGGGACACCGGGGATGCCAAGGGGGTTTGGGGACCCCCAGGATGACCCCCATACATCACCTATAGAGAGGGACACATCCCTGGGGTGCTTCACTTTCGGGACACCCCTGTCACAGTGTCTTGAGCGTGGGGTATCACTATGGCTGTGTCACTGGCACCCTGGCTGTCCCCAGGTGGGGGGGGGGGGTGGAACACACTGGGGACCCCAGGGGGGGCTTTGGGGAACCCCCAGGGTGACCCTATATCTTGTGCTGGCAGGGAGCCTGGGGTGCTTCTCTTTGGGGACATCTCTGTCACCATTCCCCCACCCTGGGATGTCACCCTGGCTGTCCTCAGGTGGGGGGGAGGACATTGGGGACCCGCAGGGGGATTTTGTGGGCACCCCCAGGGTGAACCCCCCATCTCCTGCTGGCAGAGAGGGACATCCCTGGGTTGCTTCACTTGGGGGACCCTCCTGCTCCTATCCCTGTCCCCCCCCGTGGTGTCACCCTATGGTGTCACCGCCACTGACCCCCCTTGTCCCCCCCCAGCAAATGCCCCGAAGGCACCTGTGATGGCTGCACCTTCCACCTGCTGTGGGTGTCCCCGCAGGGCTGTCCCCGCTGCACCCCCTCCCACTACCGGGCCATCCCCGGTGCCTGCATGGGGGGTGTCCAGGTACGGGACCCCCACCCCAAGTCCCTTCTCCCCCTCCTCAGAAATCCACCCACCCGCCTGGGCTGTGGGACCTCCACCCCACTGAGCCCCTGTTCCCTCTTCCCCCAAAACCACCCCTGCATGGAGGGGTCTGGTCCCGCCCCGGCGCCAGGGGGCGTGGGTTTTAGGACCCCCTAAACCCCATTAAACCCCTTTTTCACCCCCAGAAACCCACCCGCATGTGGGGGCCCCATGGCTGTGGCACAAGATGGGCTTTGGGACCCCCTACCCCATTAAACATCCTTTCCCCCTCCCCACAAAACCACCACCGCGCAGAGGGGTCCCGATCCTGCCCCAACGCTACGGGGGTGGGCTTTGAGACTCCCCACCCCATTAGACCCCATTTCCCTCCCCAGAAACCCCCATACGTGTGTGGGGAGGTGCATCTGTGCCACGGGATGGGGTTTGGAACCCCTAAACCCCATTAAACCTCCGTTCCCCGCCCCATGAAACCAACTACACGTGGTGGGACCCGGGGGGGGGGGGTCCAGGTCCCTCCCTGACGCCACGAAGATGGCTTTGGGGACCCTTAACCCCATTAAACGTCCTTTCCCCCCCATTAAACCACCCACGTGTGGAGGGGTCCTGGTCCTGCCCCGACGCCACAAGGGTGGGCTTTGAGACCCCCCCCCCCCCATTAAAGCCCCTATTTCCCCTTCCCCATAAAACCACTACCATGTGGCAGGGGTCCAGCTCCCTCCCTGCCCCACGGGGGTGAGTTTTAGGACCCCCTAAACCCTGTTAAAGCCCCTTTACCCCCCCAGAAAACCACATACGTGTGGCGGGAGCCGCGGCTGTGTCACGGGGGGGTCGCGCTGCCCCCGCAGGAATCGCGGCCGTGCAGGAGCGTGGATTTTTGGCTCAAAGTGGGAATTTCCACGGGCACAGGCCTGGCCGCGCTGCTGGCCGTGCTCGCCACCTATTTCTGGAAGAAGACCCAAAAGTGAGCGACGGCCACGGGGCAGGGGGGGGGTGGGGTGTCACTGTCGCCTCGGGGGGTGATGGCACCTCCCGCATTCCCAGGCTGGAATACAAGTATTCCAAGCTGGTGATGGACGCGGCGGCGCGGGAGGGAGAGGCGGCGTCCCCCGACAGCTGCGCCATCATGGAGGGCGAGGACGCCGAGGACGAGCTGCTCTTTGCCACCGAAATGTCGCTTTTCGGGAAACTCCGGGCCCTGAAGGCCAAGGTAAGGGGGGAACGAGGGGGCACAGCCCGGGAGGAGCTGCCGGAGGAGCCGCAGCGGGGGAGGGGCTTGGGGGTGCCCCGGGCCTCAGTTCCCCCCCGGGGGGTCTCCATGTCTCAGTTTCCCCCCACAGGCTGTCCCCGTGCCTCAGTGTCCCCACCCCAGGGGTCTCAGTGCCTCAGTGTCCCCACCCTTGGGGGGATAATGTCTCTGTGCTTCAGTTTCCCCATCACTAGAGGCCTCCATGCCCCAGTTTCCCCACTGGGGGGGGTCTTTTTGCCTCACTTTCCCTGCTTTTGGGGGTCTCAGTGCCTCAGATTCCCCTGGAGGGGAATCTTGTGCCTCAGTTTCCCCACTCTCGGGGTCCCATGCCTCAGTGTCCCCACCGGGGGGGGGTCCCCGTGCCCCAGTTTCCCCCCCACAGGCTGTCCCCGTGCCCCAGTGTCCCCTCTCTGGCGGGTCTCTGTGCCTCAGTGTCCCCACGGGGGGGTCCCCGTGCCCCAGTTTCCCCCCCACAGGCTGTCCCCGTGCCTCAGTGTCCCCACCCCACAGCGGATGCCAGACGGGTTCGACTCGGTGCCACTCAAGAGCTCGTCCAGCAGCACCGACCGGGAGCTGTGACGGGGCAGGGGGGGGGCCCCCTGTGCCCCCCACCCCCCACCGTGGCCATAGGGACCCTCTTGGGGCTGGAGCTCCCTCATGGCTTTTGTACGTCGTGTCCCCCCCTTGTCCCCACCCCTGTGACCCCCCCGAGTGCCCCAAAATGCCAAATACAGGAGTGGGGTTTGTACCACGGTTCTAGGGGTGCAGGCACGGGGGGCACAAGGGGAGGGCGGTGAGGGGGAGGTTGGGTGACTCATCCCAGACAACCGGCAACGTTCCTGGGGGTTTGGTTCCCTTCCACCTGCGCGTTTTGGGAGGTCAAGGAGGTGGGAAAAGGTCCCTTGGTGGATTTGGGAGCAAATATTTGGGTCCAAAGTCAGGCAATTCCAGAGGGTCGCTCGGGAAACTCAACCTCGGCCAACTAGATCTCCCGCACAACAGGGATTGTCCAGAATTCTTGAGTCCAGCTTACCGTGCATTCCAAGATGTTGGGAGAGGAAAGAGAGAGGGAAGGAGAAGGGAAAGGAGAGAGCAGCCTTCAGAGAAACCCCTTCACAAAGCCCCAAATCCCCCCCTACCCCCTGAAACCCCCCCCAATCCCCCTCAAAACCCCCATAACTCCTGAACTTCCCCCTAAGCCCCCCCCAAACTGAACCCCCCCAATCCCCTCAACCCCTCCCTGCCCCTTGAAACCCCCCCAAACTCCCCTACCCCCTGAAAGCCCCCTACTTAATCCCCCAACACACCTGAGGCCCCCTCAAAACCCCCGTAACTCCTGAACTCCCCTCTAAGCCCCACTCCCACCAACTGAAACCTCCCAATCCTCTCAAACTCCCCCTACCCCCTGAAACCCTCCCATAATCCCCCAATACACCTGAAGCCCCTCCAAGTCCCCCCATAACTCTCCAACCCCCCTGAAAGCCCCCCCAAACTGAAACCCCCCAA